CTCAATCCACACCTCCTCATCCCGTCTCACTGCCACATCGGAGACTGGAGATTCATGGGCCACACTATGGTGCCAGATGCCAGGGGCTGGCTCTCTTTCCGTGAAAAGTTCAGTGATCGTGATCAAGGTCCCCTGCTTGCTGGGAAGTATACGCTCTCTATCACATGACGACCCATCTGGAAAGCCTAATACCTCCGCTATCTCTATATGGCGTAGAAACAGGCTGTGGGATGCCCACAACCTCACGTACAGACTGTGACTGGTATGTATCTATTGATGGTTTAAAAAGCAGTAGACAGACAGGGATGACCTAGTGCAGTAGTACAATAAATGATGGCTACATATTTCAAACTGGACTTGACCCTCATGTACATTTCCCCCTCCACCACACGCCTTTAATATTGTCGCCACTTTTATGGTGGTAAACTTGTGGAGGCAATGTCGAGAGGATCCTGTCTTTTGAAATAATAATTATGTAGACCTCGTTTATGTATATTACTACTGCATCACATACCCTAGGTCTCCCTGTCTTGTCTCCTATTTACACATTAACCACTTTCTTATACTCCCATACTATGTACAACTCCATGTTTCCATAACCACTCAAAAGTAAACAGTGCCCGCAGCCCTTTTTGCCAGCACATACCGACGTACACAAGGTTATAAACAGGCGCACATCAATTAGATTCATATGAATTGGGTTAGATTATTTCTGTATCTAATTGGTTAACGGAACATGTAATTCAGTTCCACCAACACAAACGGTCCTGTACTTGGCCGGCCTACCTCACACATGTACATGTAACTTGCCCCCCTTATCCCCTCCCCAAAACCTGCAACTTGAAGTCAGCTAAACTGTGTGTCAATGCACTGGACCATTCCCTGGACTAACACATTCACTGTGTCATCATGTCTTCATGCATGTTCAACGACGCATACCGCATACCTCTGTGTACGTATGGATGTTAGCTACTTTTCGAGCTAATTTTAGCTGTGTGTGATTATATTCATCCTACCTTGCCTGTACATTTTGTATAGGAACATAGTCACTGAATATCTCCCCTCTCTCACTCGCCTCCAGACCCCGTCTGCACTCCGCCAACTCCTACAAGTCACACGCCATGTCCGCACTGTGGAGCATAGTGGATTCCACAACGTCTGACATGCCGCACATGAGCCACGCGCTGATGAGAATGGGTAGGAAGTTGATGATGATGAGTACGGCGAAACGAGAATTGATCACTACAATGCTGGCCGTGCGTCTCGGGCCTACCCTTGGAATCCACGTTAGGACGACCTACTGTGCGATACCCTAGCGTGGGTGGAACTGGAGTCGTTTGTGTAGTAGGTCGAGAGAGAAGCAGCGCGTGAGGTGAGGAGACTACCTCAAGAGTGAGTTAGTAATCTTCGTTTTGGTCCGCACTGACATCGAGTTTTTCACATTATGAGTGTTGTAATGACATCATTCGATGCGTGATAGTGAGCCAGTGCTAGCTCTTTATCTACGCACGTGGTCATTGGACACAATCACTTCAGTGTAGATGTACATGAGCATCTAGTTACCTACATGTCTAGTGTTGGTGTGTTTTTGGTTGTAACCAGATGTACACGTAATTTAGATGTAACAAAGGTTTTTACAGAAGGTGTGTCCTTTTAATTTGTGAGTGCCTGAAAGGGGGACATATGCCTCTCTCCATCCTAATATATGAAGTTCTTTTAAAGATCTACTGTACCTGCAGTGAACTTCCCGAGAAGGCCAAACAGATCCTGACGCTGCCCTCCAGGACGGCTCCTTCCCACTGGGCTTTCTGAAGTCCATGGCAGTAGGAGTGGCTCGCTCGGGGAAGACGTCTCCAAGAATCACGTCTTCAAAATCAAAAGTGCGACACGACTGCTCCGTTAGTACGAGTGGTGTGAGGCTCCGATCTTGGCCTTCGACAGCTGTGCTTTGGAGCTGATCAAAGCTTTGCTTCTGCATGGGGTTCGACTACTCAAGTACGAAGATATCATCAATTTCTGGCTTACGTGGTTCGCAAGGGTTTGCTTAAGAAGGGTAGCGAAAGTAGTGAAAGAATGGTTCAGGCTGCTAGAGAAGGCTCCATTCATCTGATAGAAGTGAGGTGTAGCGCAAGGTAGTGTAGGCACTGGTCAGGTGATAGTGCAGCCTCAACAGCTGTCGTCAGCAAAGTTGTGCCAAGGTTGATAGTGCACGAGGAACTGTTCAAGCTGCAGATAATCCTGTTCCTGGACAGCGGAGGACAGCCTCAATTCCACGAGGTCGTTGCAGCCTTCAGTCACAACGTGTTCCCTCGTCCTGGTCTTCACAAGCTCACTATCGTCTGGATGCTCTTGCCGTCAATGCCTTCACCGACGAGGAAGGAAAGTGGTTTACGGAGCAATGCCCCTCACTGCTCACCACGAGCAGATGTGGTCCTGTTGGTCCACACCATGATGTGCAAGCCCGTGGCCGCAGCGAGGGCATGCACACCAGGTTCATGGTGATCGCACTCACAGGGATCTGATGCACGAGTGCGACGAAACCTTGGAGCAGAGAACGAGAGCTGGCCAGCCTGTTACTACCGGCTCTGGAGGAAACCTGGTCCTGATGGCGACGACATCATCTTGCCGTCAACGCAAAGAATCCCGACGAGAATGACGCAAATCTTCGATCTGATCCGCGAGAAAGTGGCGGACTTGAGCGGGGCCCTGGATGTGGATACCCCGATAGCGTTCCTCGTGTTGCTGAACACGTGAACAAGTACGCGGAAGAGCAAGAAAGAAGGTAGTGAGCATGGAGGAATCCAGGCCATCGCTGGGAGGGCTGAAGATGGAGCGACAGAGTCTGGAGGCTGCCTTGGTTTTCTTCAACCAGATGAGCGTGTGGATGTACGTGCCGTCGGTCCTCCCTGGTGCGGTGTTTGTCGACCCTCAGATGCCACTGGACAGCATAAATCGAATCGTCCAGTACAGCTTCCGTTGGGGGGTGGTGCGATTGCAGGGCTGGCTGCGAGCGAGTGTCGACTGTGGAAGGAAGGGGTGGTGAGCAGCGAGATGCGAGGGAGAGGAGTTTCCGTGGTTGCTTCGTGAGGGGTCTGTTTGAGCAGGCGATGCTCTGAGCTGTTCGAGAAGCTTTACATTGTAGCTCCTCTGAACGAGAGGGAGTTCATAATGCCTGCCATGCTCCAGACGGTGGCAGAGAAGGATATGGAGCGATATGTGCCTGCCCCCAGTGAGCACGTGTCCCCTCTCTTTCTCCACTTCCACATGTCCGCATCGCTAAAGGGTGTGTTCTGCTCCACCCATACCTGCATGCGCTCCAAGTATGGGTGGACCACGGCTTACACCATGGTAAAAAGTAAGAAGTTCCTGCTTGTCTCTTCCGCAATGCCGTGCGGTTTGCAGCATCCGACAAAAGCAGTTAAATTACATCTTCTCCATGCTCTGAAGCCATTTCGAAGTTTATCTCGATGCATCGCTGGCCGACCTGCCCATCATCTGTCCAGAAATCCGTGACATGCTCATGGATGCAGTGGATAGTGCAGCGAGTGCTTTCCGCTTCAAGAATTCGCGAGCCTCTGTAGCCTTCCAGTGCCCCTGCAGCCCAGACTACGTGCACACAGCCACTCCCAAATGAGACTCTCTCTATGCTGATTTGCAAACATGACGGAAAATAAAATTCGAGGTCCCCTCACTCCTGGTCAGAGGGTGTGGCTTGGGCCACGAGCTGCTGCAGGTGAGATTTCTGGTGTGTTTTACTTTTTCGTTGGTGTTGAAACTCTTCAGTAATGTTTTTGAGGCTGATGCTTATTCTCTCCTCTCCCTTCTACAGTTGCAGAGTCAATCACGACTTCTTCTTCCTCTGCTAGTGTGACCTCCCTGTCCTCTGACCCTCTCTCCCCGTCCTCCACCTCTCCTCTCCCCTCCTCTACTTCTGGTGAGTCCTGCTTCATGTTAAGTTGTACATCAGTTCTCTCTCTTCTCTCTCTCTTTCAGCTGCAGAGACTCCCACACCTAATCCTCCCAACCACAACCTTCTTGCCACTTCTCACCACTCCAACACTCCCTCCTCCTCTTACCAGTGAGTGGTGTTATGAGTTATTAAAGTGTGTGGTAGTGACAGGGTGTGTTATATTGTCTCAGGTCCTCCAACTCTGCCTCAGTTGCTGCGTCTCAAGATACCGCAGAGAGTTGGTGCCAACTACTCCACATTTGGAATCCTTCTCCTCAACGACACAGTCGGGAGTCGAGTCGACAGCCTCGAGGAACTGTCCAACAAGAAACCAGAGAAGATAGTTCTGCGAATTCTCCAGGAGTGGCTGGAGGGGAGGGGGGTGGAGCCAGTGACGTGGGAGACACTCGTCAAGACACTCAGAGACTGCGACCTCTCAGCTCTGGCTGACGAGGTTCACCAGAAACTGCCGTCATCTCACTCCTGATCTCGTGTACACTCACCCTTGCCCTCTCTCTCTCTCCTCTCTCTCTTGACAATGTTTGTAGCTCACTTCACTGCATTTCATTTGCAGCTAGCATTGAGCGCCAAGTAGCCTCGCGTCCATTTCCACGAGCATGCCTAGGTTTTTTGTGCACATTATCGATTACGTCAAGGAGCCTGTGAGTGTTTTGCCGTTGGAAGCAGCCTACAAGTTTTTCCCCCCATTTCCTCAGTACATTACAACTTTATTTCATTTCGTGAGTATGGCAAAGTCTACACGTTTGTTTGCCAGTGTTCACAGGTTCATGCGCTAAGCAGCCACGCAGTTGTTTTGTGTACAGCAGCTAGTGTATTTCCCATTACATTGGTTAGGCAAGCAGCCCACGAGTTTTTTGCCATGAGTTTATGACGAAGCACCAGGTCTACATGTTGTCTCCCCATTTCATGGTACACTAAGACGCCAGCGAGTTGGTTTTTTGTGCATTTTCACAGAGTACGGCATCATCATGCAAGGTTGTTTGTATAAGTACTGCACAAGTCCAGGAGAATCGAAAAGTTTTTTTTGCGTTCTTCCTTCTGCAGTCCAGTTGTGTAGACTGGCTTGTCCCTTGCCGCATGGAAGGCTGAAACGCCATCCCTGCTGTGAGCCGTGGGTCGGGGATGCCTGCCGCTGACGTCCACCGTTGGAGAGGTCCCACCGACGAGCAGACCGAGTCCCCAGCTCCGCGAGACAACCCGCTTGATGGGCGACGCTGCTTGTTTTTCCTTACAACTAACACTTATTTGTACCCTAGGAGCCCGTGGTTGGCTGAAATTTTCCATCATATATGTATGTATGTACCTGTCACTGTGTACTCGTCCAGTACAACAACCTTTCCTCTTCGTCTCTCGCGTTTCCAAGACATTTGTGCCAACAGAAACCATGTGGTATTTCTTGCAATTTTCTCTTCTGTCTCTCTAGCCTATAGTACACAAGTGTCCTCATATAAACACAATAAGGCTACCGTAGGTCTGCACAATCTGCAAGCATATGAAAACTGGAGGTTCCTCGAAACGTTCATGGACGGCCATCTTACCTTACCCATCAAAGATTAGCGACGGCCGCGATCCAAAAGTTTTTGCATCTGTTTAAGCCTCAACATTGCAATGGAGCTACTCATACTTGGAGTGGTGGGATGTTATTTTCTCTATTTCTTCCCTTAATTTTACCTCTCCCTTCTGTCCTCTCCGCCTTATGTAAACATGTGAAGGTCTAACATGTCTATCCTCTGAATCGATAGTCGCCACTTGATTTTTCCAATCCTTACTGAACTAGTTTGTTCACATTTCTTCCCCTATAGCAGTTTTTCAACTCTCCTTTCTATCCTTTTACATCTTTCGCGATCTTGCTCAAAAACCTTTTCCTCTCTCACTCTGTCTTCCCTTCCTCCCCCTATCTTGCTCCTCTTATAATCCCTATCTGTCGTCCACTTATAGCTCATATCTTCTACCTAATCCCCATACTTGGTAGGGCAAGCAGCCCCACGAGTTTTTTTGCCATTAATTTTTGAAGACGGCAACCAGTCTACATGTTCCCTCCCCCCATTTCATGGGTACACTACGATGGCAAGCGATTTTTTTTTTTTTTGGCATTTTCACAAGTAACGGCAAGCATCATGCAAGGTTTTTTGTCATGATTTTGCACAATACAGAAGAATCCTACAAGTTTTTTTGGCGTTCTTCTGGTCAGTCCAGTTTTGTAAACTGGTTTGTCCCTCGCATGGAGCTGAACGCCATCCACGCTGTAGCCGTGTCGGGGATGCCCGCCGCTGACGCAACCGTTGGAGAGGGGCCGACCGACGAGCATACCGAGGCCCCGCTGGAGGCAGACACCGCTGATGGGACGCTGCTGTGGGTTCCTCTACACTTATTTTACCTCTCTCTCTGTCTCTCTCCTTATGTACAGGTGAATGGTCTACATTTCTATACTCTGAATCGAGAGGTCGCCACTATTTCAATCCTTACTGAACTAGGTATGTTCACATTTCTTCCACTATAGCAGTTTTCACTCTCCTTTCTATCCTCTTTCATCTTTTCCGCTATCTTGCTCAAACCTTTCCTCTCTCACTCACAACTCTCGTCTTTCCCCCTATCGTGCTCCTCTTATATCTCTATCTATCTCCAACTTATATCTTATATCTCTATCTATATTCCTCCTCCCCCTCCAAGGTATGTGGTGTGATGACCCGCTGTCACTGAAGACGTTGCCATGGAAAGCTCCAGCCAGTCACAAGAGGTGTACCGAAGACGTCAGACCAATCTTCTGGGCCCAGAGACCCAAGAGCTACATACACAGGTATTGTATATATACCACACGTGTACTTTTAGCAAGCAAGTGGGGGGAAGGACAGACCAACTAACCATCCTGAATACCTTGACTATAGCTGGAGAGTGCAGTGAAAATATAGGGTGGCCTAAATTGTTTGTACTTTTAACAAGCAAGTGGGGGGAAGGACAGACCAACTAACCATCCTGAATACCTTGACTATAGCTGGAGAGTGCAGTGAAAATATAGGGTGGCCTAAATTGTTTGTACTTTTAACAAGCAAGTGGGGGGAAGGACAGACCAACCAACCATCCTGAATACCTTGACTATAGCTGGAGAGTGCAGTGAAAATATAGGGTGGCCTAAATTGTTTGTACTTTTAACAAGCAAGTGGGGGGAAGGACAGACCAACTAACCATTCTGAATACCTTGACTATAGCTGGAGAGTGCAGTGAAAGTATAGGGTGGCCTAAATTGTTTGTACTTTTAACAAGCAAGTGGGGGGAAGGACAGACCAACCAACCATTCTGAATACCTTGACTATAGCTGGAGAGTGCAGTGAAAATATAGGGTGGCCTAAATTGTTTGTACTTTTAACAAGCAAGTGGGGGGAAGGACAGACCAACTAACCATTCTGAATACCTTGACTATAGCTGGAGAGTGCAGTGAAAATATAGGGTGGCCTAAATTGTTTGTACTTTTAACAAGCAAGTGGGGGGAAGGACAGACCAACCAACCATTTTGAATACCTTTACTATAGCTGGAGAGTGCAGTGAAAATAGTAAAATAGTTTTAGGAGTGACTGTTGAAAATTGGGCTAACCTTGGTCGATCTGTTGTTTGGTGAAGTATATACGAGCGGCGTTCGGAGAGCTGGCCGACTACCACTTGTTCTACCTGCGGACCCGCTGGAAACCGGAGCGACTGCGGGTCGTGTGGGGGGAGGAGCTGAACTGCCCGAGGACGTTGTTCCATGTCTTTGAGTGTTACCTCACCGGCAACAGGAACAAGAACGGAGTCCAAGGTGTGGGGGGAAGGGGTTCATTTCGGGAGGGGGACAGGAGGATATTGCGCAATTACTCAAATCTTAGGGAACCACACGGACACAAGGCTTTTTCTTGTCCCTCTTTTTAGACAATGAGAATCTATAACTGGGAATTATTTATTAGCACAAAAGTGTTGTGTGAAAGAATGTAGAACATAGTACATATCCCGGTTTTAATTGCTGACATCACTTCCTGTCAGGTGACCAGTCTCCCGTGGAATGACGACGAGCTCGCCATGGAGACGTCTCTGCTGACTCAGCAGCTGGCGGCCATCAACCGACGCGGAGTCCTCACGATCAACAGCCAGCCTGCAGTCAACGGCCGCAGCTCCTCTGATCCCGTGGTCGGCTGGGGGGAGAAAGGAGGCTTCGTCTATCAAAAGGTATGTGTGTGTACTTACCTCATTTGAGGTAATCAGGACACCTCACTGAGCAAATTCACTTCTCCAGCTTCTGATGTAGTGTGTGTGTTGTATAGAGTATTGGTATGTACATGTAAACCTCTGATTGGTTGGCCACCTGAATTTGAATCATACCTGAACCCTGCAATTAGGACCCCTGGAATTAAGACCCCCGCAATCTGAACCCACAATCAAAGACCCCTCTCCCCTGATTTAGATGTTGATAGTTGAGCAACAAGTGTATAATTATATCATTCTCTGCTTGTTGTCCATTTGAATGTGGAGGAAACTCTCCCAAGGATTAATAATGTCTTGACATGCAAGACTCCTCTTCAATGCCACAAAATAACCCTTCTCTCCCCCTCCCTCTTTTTCTCTACTTACAGGCATATCTGGAGTTCTTCTGTAGTCCGTCGTTCATGAGAGCGCTAATGACGGTCCTGGTGGACTATCCTCAAGTCAACTACCACATTGTCAACAGACAGGTATATACCACACAACTAAAGACTAAGGGAACGAGGGGAAATCCATGTGGGAGGACGAGGGGAGGTAGGGGTAGGGTTGGGGTACCACAGACCCCGGGGTGGGGAAAACGGGGTAGGACGATGGGGGAGGGTGTCCGGAGTAAACCATGAGGTAGGACTATCCTCAAGTCAACTACCATAATATTGTCAACAGACCGGTACATACCACACAACTAAAGACCCTCTCGACAAAAGAGCATCGCGATTGTTACTCAACTGCAAAAGTAGAATTTCAGTTTTTAGCACACCAGGTACAGACGTCTGCCTACTGCCTTTGAGAAACTTTTGGTGAAAACTTGCTATTTTTCAGAGGTTCTTGAAATTTTTTGTTAGCGAAATGTTTTTTAGCACGAAACCAGAGTTGTGACTATAGCCACTGCAGTATATATAGCTGTTCAAATCCCTCCACCCTCTTCTCCTTCCCAGGGAACGGAAAACATGACAAACTGCGACTCCTACCAGCCAATAGCCGTCACCTGGGGGGTTTTCCCTGGCATGGAGATCATACAACCCACGGTCGTCGACCCCTGTCAGCTTCATATTTGAAGGTATAGCACAAATCACTTCTTTTGCGTTCTCTTTTGATGTTGGTGTATTCCAAACATTCTCTTCTCATTATTCTCGTGAATTCATCTGCGGTTCCTCTGTTTTACGTTCTCCGTCTTCGTACGGCATTGCAATCTGCTTTTTCTGCGACTTTCTTGAGACATCGAGCTTTTCTTTTTAACAGTACTAGATGTTACGATGGTGTCTCCTCCTTTAGGACGAGACCTTCATGTTGTGGGGGACCCACTGGGCCCAGTCTCTACAGCCCGAGTCCACCTCCATCACATCATCTCACACATCCAGAACACCTACTACCTCGTCAACCTCGTCGATAATGACTTGTCTCCGGAACGTCCTCTTTCAGGTTGGTTACCAATAGTAGGGTGTGAGCTCTACCATACCTGGTCTCTATCCACTCCTCGATCATCCTCCTCTTCATGATTCCTATTGTCTAGAATTTTTATTGCGCGTGCGCACATATTGTTTACAAATCACGTGATTCTTGCAGCACGCCCTGTGCTCATCTCGTCTGGGTTTTGTTCTTCGCCCAACGTTTCCGACAGTTTTCGAGGCCCGCTTTCGATCGACGAGGTCGACCACTGACGACACAGTAGTACTGCCGGCCAGAAGCAGCTCACGTGACTCAGAGATGGCTACTGGAGGGGGGACCAAGTCTGACGTGGAAGAAACGTAAGACAGTCGCCGCGAGCCGCGCACCCCACACAGAGGAGAAATAAAATGATAACTTTTAGGTTATGACTGCCCTGTGAATGATGATGATGGTATTGTCTGATAGGTTGAGAGAGATGACGTAAATTTAGTTTTGTATGACGTCATCACTAGCCGAAGTTGTGTTTGTTAGTGATGATGTCATTGTCTTTCCTCGCAGCACTCCCTCCAAGTAAAGCCACACTCAGGAAGGTCTTTGAGAACACCAGTGACCTCAGTCCTCTGCATCCATCTCTCCATCCCTGATGATAAGAGAGATGTTGACAGTGCAGTAGAGTACTATGTACAGAGTACAGATCCAATGAAAATGAGAAGGATGATATTCTGTCTGGACCGGATTGGAGACACAGTTCTAGCAGACTCATTGATGGAGTATGCAGAGCCCCCAGCAGGTATGGCTACAATAGAGAACCCAACACAGCCAGTCAATTGTATACCTCTGGCTATATGAACCCACCACAGCATGAGCTGTGTGTACATCATCAGGGGTTCATTTAGATATCAATCCAAGGGGCAGGGGGCAAACATAAATCAAAGCATGCTGGCTTTTTGTGCAATGCGTGACGAGGGTCGAAGCACACAGCAATGTAGTGTGCTTCTGGAGGAATGCTCACCCAGAAATATGTCATGCTCTGAGATTGCTTTGGTAATAGTCTCGGGGTCTCTTCTAGTGTGGCTTTTATTTGCACAGCTGTAAAAACTACACCTGATAAGTCTTGCACAATCAAAGTATGTAGTTTACAAGTCTTGTGAATGATTCATTACTTGGACTAAAAATAGTTGCCAGCTGCCTAGCTGTGAAGTATGATATTATGTGAGTCGGCTTTAGTTAAGCAAGTCTATGTCGATATGGGCATTAGATCTTACTTTAGAAGCTCCTGTAAACCATCTACGATAGTATATACCTACTGGTTTAGGTGGCATAGTGACTATAGTGTGTGGTACTGTAGTTGCTGCAGTTGCACGCCAGTCAGGCTTGTTTTGCATATTTAAAGGTTTACTTTAACTCAAAGGGGGGGATTTGATCAAGGGGGCGAGCACCCCCCTCTGCCCCTAAATGAACCCCTGATCATGTTGACATGTGGAAGACTAGATTTTGTGAAACTGTCTTGAAGTAGCCTTCTTCCCTGACTCTCCCTCTGCATTATAATAGGTTTTGCTGGAAACAAAAAGCACTGAAGTATAATAAATTATTATAATACAAAATCCTTAATGAAAAGGCACCCTCGGTGCAAGGATCGTGCATGCAGCGTTGATATGCACTTTACACATGCTCTTAACATGATTAATGTTTGGGAATAGATTAGTTTCAATTGATGACAGTGGCTGGTCCTCTCCTCAGATCCATCCCTCAATCCACACCTCCTCATACCAGTCTTTACTGCCATATCTGGAGACTGGGGGAGATTGCTGGCTACACTACAGTACCAGATGCCAGGGCTGCTCTCTTCCGTGAGAAGTTCAGAGATCGTGATCAAGTCACTGCTGAGGCTGGGAAGTACTACGCTCTCTATCATCATGATCCCAGCTGGAAAGACTTATCCCTCATCTCTATGCAGCAGGAGAAACAAAGGCTGTGGGGATTGCCAAACCTCACGTACAGACTGTGACTGGTATGTAATTGACGAGCGAAGTGAGCCTACCTAGTCGTCTGAATGAATGTGAGTCAGTGAGTGATGGGCATTGCATACCAATGTTCTACGTGATTCTCACACTCACTCACCAATTAATTGGGGAGTGAAGCGAGCCCACCTACATAGGCGTCTGAATGTGGAATTTTACCATATTATATATTTATCTGGTGAACAGACCCACATACTGTAATGTTTAGCATTAAACATGTGAAATATTGATTCACTCGCCACTACATACCATAATATTCAGTGCTAAAACGTGTGAAATATTGAAATGCTCACTTCACTCACCAAGAATGTCCTCTAGTATGCTTGCATTCCTTCTAGTAACAATTATACACTCACATGTTTACATGTACTACTTGTACTTTATGTGTTAGGAACACATGTAGTAACAACAGTTCCAACACACTGTCCTGTATTTGGCCTACACTCACACATGTACATTGTACTTGTGTGTACTGCCCTCCCTGATCCCCTCCCCAAAGACCTGCACTTGAGAGTCAGCTAAAACTGTGTGTCATGCACTGGACCATTACATGTGGACTAACACATTCACTGTGTCAATCATGTCTTCATGCATGTTCAACGAAGCATACCTCTGTGTACTATGGATGTTACTAATTTTAGCAGCTGTGTGTATTAATATTCATACCTAACCTTGCCTATACATTTGTGATAGGAAACAATAGTCACTGAATATTCTCCCTCTCTCACTCCTCCAGACCCCAGCCTGACTCCAGCCAACATCCTACAAGTCACACGCCATGTCCCACTGTGGAGGAGTGGGATTCCTACACTATCTTACATGCCACGCAGCCAGCATGATGAGATAGTAGGAAAGTTTGATGATGATGAGGAGGCGAAACGAGAATTGATCACTACATGGCTGGCCGGTCACCCCTGGCCTACCACGTGTGGAACTACTGATGGAGTTGGGTGAGGAGGAAGAGAGCAGTACTGAGGGGAGGAACATGACCTCAAGCTGAGTAGTAATCATTAGTTTGTCAACACAACTCGAGTTTACATTATGATTGTTGTATGACATGATTCGAAGGGTGATAGTGAAGCCAGTGCTATATCTTTAGCTAAGCATTGTTCATTGGACACATGCAGCTTCAGTGTACAATGTACATGAGCATCTATGTACCTACATGTCTAGTGTTGGGTGTGGTTTGTGGTTTGTAACCAGATGTACACGTAATTTAGATGTAACAAAGGTTTTACAGAAAGTGTGTGTGCCCTTTTAATTTGTGAGTGCCTGAAAG